GTCCTTCCTTTGTAAAACACAAGCAATTATACTGAGATGTTTCTGGTTAACCCAGCACAGGGATATTATGTTCATTAGCTTCAGAATAAACCAGGTTAAACTACGGCTAGAGGTTGATTAAGATCCCTGATTTGGTCAGAAGCTAGTACCCATAGCTTTCCAGTTAAGATGAAATCACAGTGACCAGATGTCTTAACTGCAAAGGAGAACAAGGCATCACAAAATGTAGGACATTCAAGGAAAATTGAGGACATGACCAAAGAAAAGCTAAAAACACCCGTATAAATATAAACCCATGCTTCTTAGTTGTGCTCCAAATGGAAGACATTTTGGAATACCTCATGGATAGTAGGTTGAAATTTAGGAAAAAGAGAATATCTGGTCACCCTGGATGAAATGGGAAACTATTATTAATTACACACTTTTTTGTTTACCATTGCTGCAGAGGGGTGTGTGTGCACGCAGGGAACTAAATACGCATGGTATCTAGACCGGCGTAGGCAGCTGTGGGGAATTGGAGGTTCATTAGCTTCTAGACCAGTTCCCCTGCCACCCCCCCTCCCCAATGTCCCTAGAAACCCCTAGGAGGTATAAGGGATGTTTTTGCCAAGTTTTTGTCCCTAGTTGAGTTGTTCATTTCAGCAAAGATGGGTCATAATACAGGCATCATGATGTGATATATTTTACTTTGAAGAAGCTAAAGTTATATGTTACAAAAATTCTGTACTTTTTCCTCCATGAAGGTGCTGTGGAGGTACACAGGCGAGACCCCACCCAACCTTGCCAAGAACACAAAGCTTGTTAAGTGGCTTCCACAAAATGACCTACTTGGTATGTCTGGGCCAGAAATTAAAATGTTGACTTTCCATCTGTATTTGAAGATACTCTTATATCATTTCTTTCTCAACTAAATTATCACAAAGAAAGAAGTATACCTTGTATTTTTTAAAAAAAAAACAAAAGCACAAGTAATTCCAAATAGTAGATTAATGCACCTGCTGAACCCTCATCACAAAAACCTGCATTTGCAAGAGCAGGTTAGAAAAGGAAAACAATAAAGGAAATGTGTTGAAAGCAAATTCAGAACAAACCCAGAATGTGAACAGTGGGTGCTTCAAGACAAAGAGGCTCCTCATGCTACCGATCAAAATGCAATCTCTTCCTCCTTGTTTTGTTTTGTTCCCCAAATAATTTTAAATTACATTTGTCTAAAATGATTATACCATCTGTTTACATACTTTCTCTCACAGAATGATCACCTAAACAACGCTGGCTCCTATTCCTTCTGGTGCCCCAGGTTTCTCAATATTTTCCTTCTCCTGCTTTTCTGGGGCCTTGGCCCATATATTTGTTACTTTCCCAGTCCCTCACTCTCCCATTTTATTTCTTCAGCATGTCCCTATTGCCTAACTTTCCTTCTTTCACTGAGGCACCACCTCCTAATTTACTGTTTCTCTTTTTTTAATTTACTGTAGGCACTAAAGCCTACAGTTTTGCCCACCCAGCTTGCCCAACTAGAGCTGTCCCTTTTCCTCTGCAGGTAATGTCCAAGTTAAACTGTGATCTGAGCCAGAAGGTTCAGTTGGACAGTGCCAGTCAGGAGAAGAAAATTGGCATGATTCTCTTTTCTTTTCAGACCAATCAGAATGGTAGGATAGCATGAACAGACAATCTGGAGGAGTGTGAAGGGAAAGTGGGCTACTATTTTCACTTCTAGTGTATATACTCTGCTATAAGTTGAACTCATGTATAAGTAAGGGCAGGTTTTGGGGCCAAAATCATGGATTTCAATATGACCCATAGATACATTGAAAGTAAAACTTAGGTGTATGTAACAAAAGATCTAAGGGATGAAACAAAGGGGAACAATGCCAAAGAACTTACAAAATTTCAGCAAGCATAACTGTTTGTGCTCACCCTAAAGGCTAGATGGATGAGAGAAAAGACAGAGGTCAGTGCTTTCAGGACAGATTACACTCTTGTCTTTCACCAGGGGATCCCTTTTTATATAACAGTCAAAGGACAGTGCTTACATTGACCCATGGATAAGTTGGCTCAGGTTTTTTGGGGCCAAATTTTTGATTAAAATTTCTAGATTTATGCATGACTACATACGTCTGGCAAGAAGGAGGGTAGGAAGCTTTGCAGACATAGGACAGCACATTGCAACCCTCCGACAAGACACCACACATTGAGAACCTGGACTACATATATACTTTGTCTGAAAACAGTGACATAGATCTCTGTTGTGACTGATTTAGGCTACTTTAGAGTCAGTGGAATTTAGCAGCAAACTAGACACGAAACCAGAAACATGTGAACTATGTCCTGGTGGATTGTTATCTTTGTACTGATAACATTCCCCACCACCACCCGAAGCATAGCTGTAGGGGGACTGCAAACTTACTCATAACAGTAACAGAAGCTATTTTTCCTGTCAACATTGCGGTCTCCAAGCTGTTTTATTTCCTACCATTATTGTAATCAAACTGATTGTCCATCTCCCCACCCCACCCCACTCCATGGCTTCTCTTCAATCTCCACTCTAAAAAGCTAAAAAATATCTTGTTGGTTTTAACTTATTTAGCACTTTATCATATGTTAACTTTTATTTGGTTGCAGTCAATGGCTTTAAAAAAAGAGGCAAGTCAAAATCAGATTGAGACGGGCATTCCCTGTTAAACATAGCTGGAAAAGGTCCATGCCTGACTGGTGAAAATTCCTTCTTTCAGTTTACATCCATCCCAGTGCTTGGATGTATTTGTTTCTTCTGTCCCACAGACACACTCTTAACATGTACAAGAGACCCTGGCTGAAAGGCTGCTGGTAACATGGGATGGAAAACAGGAAGCAAAAAGGGATAATGATGGAAAGAGCACTCTACTCCTATAGCTTGTTCAATAGGTGGTCTTTTATTCCCCCCCCCCCCCCCCCCCCAGTTTCCATGACAGGACAAAGTAGACATGAATTTGGAATAACAGGGCAAGACCAGCTTTTATTACAACAGATTAAATAACAAAATGGTACCTTTCCTGTTCCTCACCATCTTGCTGTTTTGTTTGCTAATCTATGAATAACATCAGGACTATATCAGCTTCATTGCACTGCTTATTAATGTTCACTTTAATTGAAGCCCTCTACACCTGTGCATCTTTATCACATATTAGCACTAAAATGAACCTGTTTATATTTCTTTACCTCTACTCCTTTCTTATTCAACAGCTCACCCCAAAACCAGAGCCTTTATCACCCATGCAGGCTCCCATGGGGTATATGAAGGGATCTGCAATGGAGTACCAATGGTACTGATGCCACTTTTTGGAGATCAAATGGATAATGCAAAACGGATCGAATCTCGAGGAGCAGGAGTGGCTCTGAATATAATTGAGATGACTGCAAAGGACATATCTGAGGCCTTGAAAGCTGTTATTTATGATAAAAAGTGAGTAGATAAGCCATGGCAGTAATAGATTGAATTTATGGTTGTATCCAAGTAATTTGCACATTAAAAATTACATACCTTTAAGGCTCAGGCTAGTGAACACCAATGGAAATTCTTTCCCTCTCTCCTTTCCTCTTCTGCAGTTTACTGCTGATGTTTCCACTAGCATGTTATCAGTTATTCAGTGGAAGAAATTAATGCAAAGTGAGAGGTAAAATAGAAAAACTCTTCTTTCTCTCACTAAAGAGAACCTTCCTCTAACAGATAGTGCCTCTACAGGAATTTTGGAGATTACCCTACATCATTACTGACTTCAGTCAAACTGGTTCTCCAACTCTCTGTTAAGTTTATCACATGGCACTTGCAGGAATGGGAACTGAATGGCACAGAAGAGGGCGAGAATGCAAGTTACTTCACAGGAGAATGCCACCAAGAGTCCCCAAGCCATTCCCCAGCTGTTCCTGGCAGCCGATTTTGAAGAATGATTCAACAGCTGGGGAATGGCTTGGGGACTCCCGGCAGCATCAGTGGAATTCTCTTGTTCAGTAATTTACATTATCGCCCCATTCCATTCTGTTCTGTTCCATTCCATTCCTGTTTCTGCAAGTGCCATGCGATAAACTTATGTGTTTGAAAAATACAGGCCTGGAGAGGCTGTTGTTAGGAGGAGACAGTGAGGAACTGTGTTTTCACCAGCCCAGTAACATGGTCCTATATGTGGGTCCAACCTCCTCCTCCTCCTCCTCCTCCTCCTTTTTAACTCTGTTGCTTCTGGCCTCTGGATCCTCTGCACCAGGGCAAGGCAATTGAGGAGTTGTGGGAGACACAAACCAATTTTATTGAACTTCTTTTGATTTTTTTCCCCCACTTTATGTCTGCAAGGGTCAATTTTGTCATAATTTGGGAGGTGCCTAGGCCTTTCCCCCCTAATTTACTTCCTGGTTGAAAAAAAAAATCCCATCCTAGCTCTAAAATGGCTCAGGGATGCCCTTATAACAGGTAAAATGCTTTATTTGTTAACATCTTGGGTATGCTAGGGTGCCTAACAACTTCAATAAAAGCCACAGGGAGCTGTAGGCAGTCCATAGACCCCCTTTTGCCTTCCCATGCTGTAAGGTTTTATGTGATACAGTTCAGTTAGCTTGCCCGTGTCTTTCAATTTCCCCTTGCAGTGAATAGCTGCAAGAGCATTTGCAATGTGTTCATGATTGCATTTTTAGCATATGAAAGGTGTTGAAGAGGAAAAAAGGTTATTCCAAAAATCCTTGTGCAAAGGTATCCTGGAATATCCCCTTAATCCTCTGCGTTAAGGCAAGCAGGGGTTTCCTGGAAGATATATTCATTTGGAAAGGGTTCCCTGAATGTCAAGATGTCAGGCAACCTCTGCTCAATACAAAGACTTCTTCAAGGTTCCTCAGCACAGCTTTCAAGTCTGACCTTTAGTATTAGAGTCAGTGCTGATTCATTTCATCATATTGGCAGTGGTAGCTAGTGAGCTGATTCTACATTAAGAATCACCAGTGGTAACTGTGAAGCAATTGAGGAAAAAAGAAAGCCAGCCAGCATGGTGTAGTGGTTGGACTGTTGGACTATGACTTTGGAGACCAGGGTTCAATTCCCAGCTCAGTCATGAAATCCACTGGGTGACCTTGGGCTATTCACAAACTCTCTCAGAGGAAGGCAATGGAAAACCTCCTCTGAACAAATATTGCCAAGAAACCCTATGATAAGGTTACTTTAGGGTCACCATAAGTTGGAAATGACTTAAAGGCACACAATAACAAACACTTGCCAGTAACAAACCACTGGAAAGTAGTAGAAGTGGGATCATCTCACTTAACGCATAGTGACTGATGTCTTCTATGTCATCAGGGGAGTGAAGTGAATCTGCTTGAAGTTTTATTCCACTGTGCTACCTACTCCATCACTAAGTACAATAGCATCTAAAATCCACAAACTAGTATTACCTTTATTGGGCCAACCAAATTGCACAATATACATGTTGAAAACTTTCGAAGCTCCACTGGCTTGTTCATCAGCAAAGGTGTTAAAAATCATACAGGAAAAAGAAAAAGAAAATGATGATGTTAGTCATAGGCTTGCATTTTGTCAAGATGTTGTGGTTGTTGTCCTGAGTTCAAATGGCATGAAGGGTATTGATGCAGGCAAGCCTCTCCTCCTTCAGGCCATGTGGTAGTCTTAAAATCCAGTTTCTTTCTGGCAACAGTCACAGTCACATAGTACTTGATGATGTGAAGGAATGATGGGCATTGCTATCCACTGGAGTTTGGCTCTAAAATCCCTGTGGATACCAAAATCCATGGGTGCTCAAGTCCCATTATATACAATGGTGTAATAAAATGGTGTCACATATAAAGTGGCAAAATCAAGGTTTGCTTTTTGGATTTTTATGGGGGGGGGACACACAATATTTTCAAGCTGTGGATGGTTGAATCCATGGAGGCATAAACTGTGGGTAAGGAGGGCCAACTGTATATAGTGATCTTCTGTTAACCTTAGCCATCACAGTGTTGAAAGTGTTCCTGAGAGTTACTGAGAGCTATATTGGGGTGAAGAGACACATTGCATGCCTTGATATAAAAGACTACCTGCTATAGAGTCAGGGTGCAGCTATTAACAGCCCAGGAAGCTTTGCCTCTGTTGCATCTGCAGACCCAACATAATGCCCATACAAAATATGACACCTATATGCCCATGGAGAGAGAACTAGTACTTATTGACTTCATTGTATGCAAACAGAACATCATGGAGGTCTCACTTTCCTGGGGTCCTACATTTGTGCATGTATAGATATGGAGCTATCTGTACACCTACCACCCATTTTTCATGGTCTGGGCATACAGAACATAATTGGTATTCGTATGTAAAACAAGGAATTTAATTCTCTTGAAAAGCTAGCATTTTTCAGATATTTGAAGAAATTCCTTCAATGATACAAACAGGAATTGATCCCACCTGAACTTCAAGGTCTGATGAATCTTCCTCAAGGGTTTAGTGTATTTCGTTATTTTATTCCTCTGCATGTATCATTCTTAGAAAAGTATACAGTAAAACTTTTTAAAAAACATACTTTCAGGTATAAAGAGAACATCCAGCGCCTCTCAGAACTTCACCTGGACAGACCCATCCACCCTCTCGATCTTGCTGTGCATTGGGTGGAGTTTGTGATGAAGCACAAGGGAGCCCCCCATCTGCGACCAGCAGCACATGACCTCAACTGGATCCAATACCACTCTCTTGATGTCATTGCCTTCCTCCTGGCTGTAACACTGCTAGCGGTGTTCATCTCAGTGAAGTGCTGCATGTTCTGTTGTAGAAAATGTTTCTGCAAAAGTGGAAGACTGAGCAAGAAAAGCAAATCAAAGTCTCAATAAAATGTGATGAGGTATAGGGGAGTCAAGGATCGTAAGGAAATGGGCCTTGTTCCTAAAGGTCATAAGGCATCCTGCATCAGTCCTAGCATAACTGGGGCCAGTTTGCACGTGTTCCTTCCTAAAACAAAATCATGATGACATAAATGTGTCGTTCCCATGCTAATGTATGAATGCAGCCCTCTAGGCCAATGACATTGTGAATATAAGCAAATGGATCTCCAAGGTAAAACTTCCAAGCAGATTTCAGATTCTTGTAGTTCATAAATGTGTTAAGGAATCAATTGTGTATGTAACTGATGGATCAGACTTGGGACTCACACATTGATTATATTTCCTCTAATGTAAGTCACATGATGTCACTGCCACATTTTTCAAATGATAACAAAGTTGTTGTTCAGTACTTTTAATTTAAACATAGTGGCTGGCATCATGTTAATAAGTAATGATGTCATAAATCAGCCTTACAACATTGTAACTCACTTTTTTGGTCATTGCAAAGGTGAGAATTCTGTCTCGTCCATGCAAACATCAAAAGCCCTCTCCAACCTACCTTATAAGTTGGGCATCCCTCCACCCAACACAGCCATTTCTGCATTGTCAGAGAGAGAGTGGATCAATGGTGAGGTGCCCAGCTATTTTCCTTTGCTGGATGTGCTGCAGGGACATCTTCAGCTAGGATGTCCCAGAGACCCCCAAAGGTCTCTGCTCATGTCTGTTACAGTTTGTCCAGCTACAGGAAAATAGCTGAACTTGTCATTGCTGATCCCCTCATGCTGAGAACCCAGAAATGGCCATGTTGGGAGGTTACCTGGCTTACAAGGTGGGGTTTTAGGAAACAGCATCTGGAGATGTAGCTATGGAGACATAAGTATGTGGGATATATATTTCTCTTGATGCAGAATCTTGGACATTAATTTTAGGCCATTTTTGGTTATTTGGAGAAGTTTGTTAAAGATAATATACACATGAAAACTTTGCAGAGCAGGAAAGGGATGTAGCTTTGTTATTCTGTTGCAGGAAAAACAACCACAAAGGGTAGTTAAAACAAGATTTATGTGGCATAAGTTTTAGTGGACTCCATCTTGCTACGGACATGTGCCCAAGAGGACTTTTGAGCCTTTAAAATTCTGCAAAAGTCTTTGAGTTTAAGAAGACTGTGAATTTATGGTTAAAAGTGCCCATGGTACTAGAGTGGTCTCTTTCTTTCTTTCACCTTCAGAAAGGCCACTGTTGTGATGGCCTTTGTATTTTTTCTGACATTAAATGAGTTCTATTATCTACACTGTTGATGCAATCCCTAGCATTATTATTATTATTATTAGCTGCCTAAAAGTGCCCTTTTCTGAAGCACTCTGTGATAGTTAGATAACCAATGATAAAACTATACAGAACAACCCTAAGCATGAGCAGAATTTATGTGGTGGACAATTTGCCAATGCTCTACAATTTACTGTATTTCTTTTGTACAATAATCTTGTTATAGTGTCCTTTTTATATTGTAGATGGTGAGCTCTATAGGGCCATCAAGTGAATTCACAATGATAGTACTAAGATTTGAACTGGAGACTTCCTGTAATGTAGAACACAGAGCAGTCATGGAAATGTCACTACCAAAGAAATCCCTAATTGTCAGTCAGTCCCCCAATTGTTGACTTAGGGGGGAAGCAGACTGGCGGCTCTGCGCCGCCCCGGGAAGGTGCGCCGCAGGACCGAGGCAGCCCCACACCTCGTTCCTCTGGCACTCCTTCGCCGCCCCTGAAAGGAGTGCTAAATCAGCGCTCCTTTCACAAGTCAGTGAAAATGCGCCCCAAAAGCGTGAGGCGCACTTTCACTGACTTATCCGCTGCAGCGTGTGCAGATGCTGTGGCGGGAGGTTGCCCCCAGAGCGCCGGCCGTGCAGAGGGCCGGCAGCTCCGAGGACGACCTCGGGAGGACGAAGGGGCGCCGAGCGTGTGGCTGCCCCTCCTCTTCCCTGCCTCGGAGACGGCTCAATTAGCCCTCTGCCGAGGCCCTTTAGACAGCTACAAATGGACTAAGCTAACCTCAAGCAAAACATAAAGCACAATTCAAACTATTGCCAGTTAAATAATCCCCTTAACTCTATTTGATTTGTCCACAATGTAAGTTTTTTAAAGATTGAGAGCACTGTAAACCTTGTTGTTAACTGCACTCAAGTTGATCTCAACTCCTGGTGACCCTATGGATGAGACATCTCAAAGACCCCCTGTCCTCCACTG